ACACGCACGCACACACAAAGACCCCCTCGTGTAGCCTGAACAGCTCCAACGCAGGACCTTTTTTCGCCAGTATCAAAGTGTGAAAAAATAAGACGAAGTTTGATCCTTTCTGGAAAAAAACAGGAGGTGTGAAGATGTCCAAACACCAAATGGAAGCCTTTTGCGAGGAATCAAGTCTGCTGCTTGTGGTGAGCATGCAAACCAAAAAATGCTCTGATAATGATAAATGATGCGTTGTCTTTGAAACTGATTGGTCTGCACTGTTCGCCTTTTGACGTTGTCCTCTGGTCTGCCACAGGTGGTGAGACTTGACCCCAAGAAGGCCGCTGCCTCTGGTGGAGACCAATCCGTTTCAAAGACAACGCATCATTTATCATTATCAGAGCACGTTTTGCTTGCACGTTCACCACAAGCAGCGGATTTAATTCCTCGCAAAAGGCTTCTATTTGGTGTGTGAACATCTTCCTGTTTTATTTCCAGAAAGGGTAAAAGAGCTCGTCTTGACTTTGCATACTTCACAGCTCTTTTTCACAGAAGTCCAGATTCCGTGTCAGGGGCGAGCGTTTGGTGGGGACAGTGATGGTGACGGCGGATTTGTGTTGAGGTGAAAATTAAATGCAGACAATGTAACACGCACACGCCACTACCACCACCACCACCAACACTACCAAAGATAAAGATCCCCTGTGTAGCCTTAACAGACTGTTGTGGCAAGTGCTGTTAACGAGCACCTACGAAGGCCGGAAGGGGGTGGGTGGCCAGCACCATGCCCGGCCGCCTTTGTCTCCCCAGTGGCGATGTTTACTACACACCGCACCAGGTACTCGTTTGAAGCTGAGTCGACCTAGGGGAGGCCCAGGACCGGTTCAGTTAATCGTCACTGGTGTTGATAGCCGTGAGCGGGAATCGAACTCGGGTCGCCGGGTTCGTAGCACAGCGCAGCGCTAACTGCTACACTACCGCTCCCCACACGTGCACGTGCACACACACACACGTGCACACAGACACACACACGTGCACACACACACACGTGCACACAGACACACACACGTGCACACACACACGTGCACACAGACACACGCGCACACACACGTGCACACACGTGCACGCGCACACGTGCACGCGCACACGCGCACGCGCACACGTGCACGCGCACACGTGCACGCGCACACACACACGTGCACGCGCACACACACACGTGCACGCGCACACACACACGTGCACGCGCACACACACACGTGCACGCGCACACGCGGAGAGGAAGAGAATGGGCACGCGGCGAGACTGCTTAGCTGCCTATTAAGCCAGGCGCCATTGGAATCAACGCATTCAGCAGCCGCTCGGTTAAGTACACAGAGATGGGCCGGCGCTGCATTGAGAAGGAACGAGCGGCTGTTCCTGTTTGCTTAGCGCCCCCACACAAAGCGCCACGGAGCGATGTTTACACAGCGCGCCCCTTCGACGACAATAACAACACGCGGCCACGTGGCCTCCACACAATGGAGGCAAACGGCCTGTGACGTCACTTCCTGTTTGATCAAGCGGCGCTGCGGCCCTAAAGCGACAAAAGCCTCAAAGCTCCGCGGAGCGGAGGAATGCGCGATTATTTATTTATTTGACCCATTGGTGGGGGGGGGGGGGGGGTAGCGGATCGCCTTTATTTGACCAGGTGAGCGCCCATCGAGATACATTATCGTCGCTTTCGCAAGTCGAGAAGGTGGTGTTTGAACAAGGCGTTATTTATTTATTTGCTTACACGATTCTATGGCTATCCGTTTAAGTCATAAAGCACAGATCCCGGCTAAATTCCGGTAGAGATTGCCGGGTAAATTCGGGACGGTTGGGAACAGAAGCCAGAAACGGCTCAGCTCAAGACGTCGTTCAGCAAAGCACGCACGGCGACACTGGCCAGCGTACGGTCAGACACCCCCCACTCCTCCCTCCACCTCAGTACCAACAGGCGCGCGCGGGTGCCTCCATCCAGCAGTGGATTGATGAAGGGCTGTGCCCAGCGACTGAGTCGGATCCCATCTGGCTGCTGCGTGCTGAACAGTTCTCCAATTGATCTATGATTTATTGTTTATTTGGGTTAGCCATTGGCTGTCCCGCCTGATGATGCTGGTTGTAATTACTGGCGAAACGTCGTACTCAGATTGTAAATGTTGTGGATTTGCTCTCCAACACACCGGTGTGCTGTAATAGTATACTATATATACACTACACTACACGCTACTATTAACTATACACTACTACACTATACACTACTACACTATACACTACTATACTATACACTACACTGCACTATACACTGCACTATACACTCCACTATACACTGCACTATACACTACACTATACACTACTATACACTACTATACACTACACTATACACTACATTATACACTATACACTTCACTATACACTATAGTATACACTACACTACACTCTACACTACACTATACACTACACTGTAAACTACACTATACACTATACTATACACTACACGATACACTACACTATACTATACACTACACTGTAAACTAGTGCTGTACTAGTAACGAATTGCCACGTTCTATTTACGTGACACTAAACCGTATTGGTTGGCTGGCTGTGTCGGGTGGTGGCGGGTTTAACGACACAACATTTAGAAATTGTGGATGACATTGGTCGCGAAAGCCGCCTCCTCCTCCTGCTACTGCTGCGGATGCGTCTTAAACGGAGTTCTCCCATCTTGATTTGAAGCTTTCGTGACTGCAGGAATCCATACTCTGTGGTTCTTTCGGTAAAGTCACGTAGGTAGACAAATAATAAAACAAAGAATAATACATCACGACGTTTCGATCGCAACACAAGCGGTCGTCCTCAGGCGGGAAAAAATAATAATCCAGCAGTGGAACTTCTGGATTATACTATATATTCGACCTGCGTGACTTTACCCAAAGAACCAGAGAGTAGGGAGTCCTCCGTTTGGACAGCACAGAGGGGTGAGAGGAGGAGGCGCCCCCCGCGGCAGTCACCGCGACTCGCGTCGCGTCCTCCGCTCCGTTCACGGGGCTCAGCGATGGCTGCTCGACTCCCTTTTTTTCTTTACGATGCAGAGGAAACAAGAAAATGCTCGGTGTAGTCGGAACTTTGCTTCGTTCATCGTTTCGTTTTTCTTTTTTCAATGATTTGCTTTACGTGCCCCCCCCCCCCCCTAAATGAAATATTTCACAACATTTCGATTTAAAGCTTTCGTGACTGCAGGGATTCATCTTCTTGGTTCTTACTTCCCTTCTACGTGACTTTACCGAAAGAACCAAGAAGATTTCACAACATATTCCACGCTCTGTTCTCCTCCTTCTTACCCCTTCCCTCTCTCTACCCCCCTCTACCCCCTCTCTCTACCCTCTCTCTCCCTGCTCTATGTCTATGTTCCCCCTATGTTTTTTATGTAATGAATTTTTTACTACGACAAGTGCTGCATCTGCACCCAGCCCTTCTCGCAGTCCTACGGCCTCTAACGGCAGCTCTAATCTGCATGCAGAGCTCCCCGTCATCTGCCACAGAGTACGCGGCCTTCTACAGCGCCCACCGCTCCTTGAAGGCCGCCACGGCGTGGGTCACCAGCCGCGCCGCACGGCGGAACTCCGGCCCACACCCCCTGGCTCCGACCAGAGCGCGCAAGATGCCCAGGCTGCTGGCCGGACGTTTCCCCTCCACGGCCACCTTCCTCGCCCTGTATATGGCGATCTTGGCGTCCCTCTCTCTCTGTGTCTGTGTGGCTGCTGTGGGGGGGGGGGGGGGGAGCGATTGTCCCTTCACATCAGCGGCTGCGTGGGGCGCGGTTCGTGCGGCTCAGAGGGGATCGCGCCACCTCGAGAGAGCCTCGGAGCGTCGTAGCGAAGGGAGGTGGAGAGGGAAAGAGGTGAATGAGGAGGTGGGAGGAGGTGGAGGAAGAGGTGGGAGGAGGTGATGGAGGTGGAGGAGGTGGTGGAGGAAGAGTTGGGAGGAGGAAGAGGGAGGAGAAAGAGGTGGAGGTGGTGGAGGAGGTGGAGGAGGTGGACGGGGGCAAGACGAAGGAGGAGGTGGAGGAGGTGGTGGAGGTGATGGAGGAAGAGGTGGAGGTGGTGGAGGAGGTGGAAGAGGTGGAGGAAGAGGTGGCACTGTTGGGGGGTTGCCAACCCTCCCGGTTCGGCCATGAGGGTCTCTGCCGGAGTCGCCATCGGCTCCCCGTGAACGCGTGAAGCTTCGCAACTGTGGAGGGTTTTTTCTTTCTCTTCAGAATATAAATAAATTATTCGTGAAAATTAGTCCGGAGTCGCTTCAGTCAGAGTCGGCAACCCGAGCCCACAGGAATGTGTCCGAGTGCTTTTACTTTACAACAACCACAACACGACGACGGCGGCGCAGGTAACACTCGCTCGCTCGCTCACAGACAAAGATCCCCCGCGTAGCCCGCCACAGGCCGTCGGGGCAAGTGCCGCTGGTAGCGAAGAGCAGCGCCAATGAACCACGGGGGCTGTGGCACACGAGGGGGTGGGGGGCCAGCACCACGCCCGGCCGCCTTTGTCTCCCCAGCGCTTGAGGCTGAGTCGACCTATGGGAGACACAAGACCCCCGCCTGATGAGACTCCCAGCCACTGTGCCGCAACCCGCGGCCTGGAGTCCAACTCGGAGGTCGGAGCGGGGCCCGGACACGCGCTGCGCTCACCGCTGCGCCACCGCTCCCCGCACCTCCGCGTCACGTGACACCGCGGCGCGTGCCGCGTCTCGGGCCGCGCGCGCGACCCCCCCCCCCAGCCCCTCCCCCACCGCGCGTCCTTTGTTGCCGTGGCGACCGCGTGGGGCCGCGCGCGCGCCCGGGGCCTCCATTCCCGCCTCCCCCCCAGCCCCGCCCACAATCCTCCCTCGCTCCTCACCCCCTGCCGAGCCCCCACCTCCATCCACCCCCCGCAGCCCCCACCCCTGACAAACCCGCGAAAGCGCGCGCCACTGCGCTCGCGGCGGGGCGCCCGCGCATGCGCAGTGCCTTCTAAGCTGCCCTGTACCTGGCTGGCTGCTGGCTGGGCTCCTGTCGACCACCCCGACACGAACGCTGTCTGTTGAGAACATTTTGCCAGCATCAGGATGTTGAATGATAAACAAAGAAAAGCCCTTCGCCCTGTCTGCCGTAAATATATTAACGGAGTATGCAACTTCTTGCCCACCGTACGTAGTAAACCGTGCTAATCAGAGGTCCCCACGGATGTATAAACATTTCCCCACCACCGCAACTTCTGAATAATTTCCACAGCGCTTAGGCTACTCGTGGTGGAGTAAAAAAAATAGCTCAGATGACTTGCAGACACGCATTCTGATAAATACAGGGTGTTTTTAAAAGATGGACCCAATTTCAAAGCAGTATATTTCACGATGGCAACATGTTACAATTACACAAAAAGTTACAAACGGTTTAATGAGCTATCAAGTTTTACTAACCATTTAGTAAATGCTCTATGTGCCCTCCACCTGCTGTACGGACAACATCGAGACGATAGTTGAATTCGTCCCAAACGCCTCTCAAAGTGTCTCTTCTACTGAAGTCACCGCTGCCGTGATTCTGTTTTTGAGGTCATCCAGATTAGTCGCTAATGGTGGCACAAAAACACCACCGTCTCTTGTGCCACCATGCCCTGTGACATTGGCGGATCAATGCCAACACGCCGTTGAAACGCAACGCAGCACCGCAATTACGGATTCAGTCTCGCTGAACTGTAGAACGCCAAAAGGCGCATCTGGCTGTAAAAAAAAAGCTGTCTCTGGTGTGGGCCAATCAATTTCAAGGAAAGTGCACATACATTATCAGAGTGCTGTTTTTTGTTTGCATTTTGACCGCAGGTATTGTGGTTAATGCAAACATGATCCCTTGTAAAAAGGTGTCAGTTTTGTGCCAGATAAAAGGGTAAACACCTATTATTATATCATTGAGCAGTTCATTCTTGCATTCTGATGTTGCATCGCAGCTTCCGATGTCCCTTCAATATCAGTGAACTCCACCAGGTGGTGCAACATCATACATCATGCTCAGAATCTCGGACTCATTACAGCTGCACCAACAGATTCGTTCTCGGAGTTTGGAGGAGATGAGTCGCTTAACTGTAACACGTGGGCCGATAGGCTCACAGTGAAGATCGTAAGCAGGAAGACTTATTCACAATTCGGGCAAATCTCCTGATGCAGCTGGTTGTGATCACCAGTGAAACGTCGTAAATGTTGTGTTTATTCGCCATCAAACCCATGTGCTCAAGGAATGTTGTTTACTTTACTGATTGGCTGAATAAGATGAGTTACATCAAAAACCAAATATAATTTGGTGCTATGCTGCGAGTAGCCATCAATTCTCTGCACTTGAGAATCTGGATTCATCTGAAATCTCAACACCTGCACAGTCGGCGTTTTGTGTCCCTCCACTCTCACGCTCTTCCCTCTCCCCTCCTTCTCCTCCCCACTCTTCTTCTCTCATGCACCATTCTCGGCATCGCTCTCCTTTACTTCAACCTCTCCCACCTCAATCTTGATTTGAAGCTTTCGTGACTGCAGGAATCCATGCTCTTTGGTTCTTTCGGTAAAGTCACGTAGGTAGAAATAAAACAAAACAAATCACGACGTCTCGATCGCAACACAAGCAATCTCTCCCACCTCACTCGAAGCGCCTGTCAAGTACCAATAAACTGCCCCCATAATTGTCTGCACTCTCCCTTCATTCTCTACGTCATCCCCACCACGCCTCCCAATTTCCTTCACTTCCCCAGCACCATTTCCCCCCATTCCTCCAACGCAACCTCAGTCTGCTATGCTTCACTCTCCTCCACATCACTCTCCTGCACTTTCCCATCCTGCCCCAACTCACTCTCCACTGCCTCACCGCTACGCACAACGCTCTTTATTCCTGCCTTACTCAACATTTCCCAACAAGTTTCTGCGTTATCTTTACTTTTCACGTTGTCTGTAAAAGTCTCCACATCTTCCTTTGTCGCATCGCCGCTCTTCCCTGCAGCATTTACCACTGCTCCTCCATCCTGCGCCTCGGGGTCAGGGTTCACTCTCGCACTCTCCCACCCCTCGCTCTTCCCTGCCCCACTATCCCCCACCTCACTCTTCTCTCCTCCACCCTCTGCCACATCACTCGCTACTCCAGCCTTACTTTGACGACCATTCTCTTCTGCTCTCTCCTCATCATTCCTCTTCCCCACCTCACCGGTTGGTCCTTCACCCTCCTCAAACCGTAGACTCAGGCGAAGTATGGTGACCGTCCCCTTGTGCACGCACAGGGCGGGGTAGAGATGGCTTGGGAAGGCGGTGGCATTGAATGAGTGCAGCCGCCTCCTGGTGTCGGCGCAGTAGAACGAGAGGAGCCCCTCTTCCCAACGCAGGTGTACGCCGATCTTCCTGGGAGGAGGGCGCACGGCCGCCAGTGCGGTGTGGCGGCCGTGGTGGCTCGCCGCGTAGCCGCCCTCGCGTCTCCACAGGCACCAGGAGTCCGCGCCCGCGCCCAGGAGCTGCGCCTCCGCGCTCCCTCCGCGCGGCAGAGTGGCGCACGCGACGCCCACTCTGAACTGCTCCGCGCCGCCCACGTCCACCTCCCAGTAGTGCGCGCCGCTGGAGAAGCCCTCGCGGCACAGCGCCTGAGCGGAGTTCTCAAAGCGCTCGGGGTGGTGGGGGTAAGAGTGGCGCTCGGAGGACAGAGTCACCGTCCTGAGGTCGACGGAGAGGCGGAGGTCGGAGTACACGGAATTGGGGTTCACGGTGGGAGAGCACCTTTCTGAAAACAAATCAAGAATAGTGATATGTTTGCATGCGTGTTGAACTTCTTCCTCGCCGTACGTAGCCAAGAGTGCTTATCGGAGGTGCATGCTTAAAATGTAAAACAATGAGATCTTTATTTTACCAGATAAATCGTTGCTGATTGTGGATGAATACATAAAATATCTGGAATATAGCAGCATTTTGGTCGTAAACGACATCGTTTATAGCAACAGCAGTGACAGAGCGAACCTTTGTCAGAGCCACAGATGATTGACACTTCATGCCCACTTTGACGTCTCACTCTCCTGACAAGCTTCCCAATGTCCATCTTGTACACTGACGTTGACAAATTATGTTACAACAATAACGCTTGTGATGACTATAAACTGAAGCGTGCAAGCATGAGGTGTGCTGGTATTTAAGTGGTTTGTCTCTTACCTGACAATTGCAACATGGCGAGGAAGTCTCTTTCATTACTTCTAGTGACTACCATCACTTCCTCGAGCTCCCCGTCCTTCTTTACACTTTCAACTTCCTCGCGGATGAACTTTTCACACTTTCTGGGGGTTTTCTCCATGTACGCCTTCCAGTATATGTTCGCTTCGATGTGGCCCTGCATCAACATCTCATGCAGGAAGAGATAGGGTCTCCTGCGCAGCAGGGCCACCATATCAATCCGCACAGGCGTCAAACCGGCCTTGTCCTCATCGACCTTCTGGAGAACAGATTTGTTGACATCACCACTGAGGGGTTGGGCTAAGAGAGGGGTGAACAAAAACACGCGAATGAGAGACGTTAGGGAGTCCGAGCAAATGCAAAATCCTCAGCCACAGGCAATTGTTAGGCAGAGCTGCTTAATATCTCAAGGCATTGCTGCGTTTCAGTATCTAGAACACTGTCTCTGAGTGCGAGTTTTAACGATCCACACGAGTGGATCGTAAAAAATAGATGAAGCTACAAAATGCAAAATCTGACGTGTTTTGAAGCTTACACAATTCTCCATATTTGTAATCAGTTTTTGTGATGTAAATATTATAATTGATTATATTACTACCAGCCATCTTCAGCTGGAGAATCTCTAAACATGCGTAGCGTTTAGTTTGGCTAAACGAGGGCACGGAAGTGGCTATGTAAATGTAAGGGATTAGCAAGAGGCTGCTCTTCAATCTCACAGTTACATGCTAATTTCTCACATTAACATCACTAACCCCGGTCACTTCTTTATAACCCTTGAGCTACACCCATTTAAACCCTTTTAGAACAGCCTACCTCAGCAGTATACTGTGCTTTCCCACCTGATGTCGTGATTCTATTTAGTTTTCATTTTTTATTTTATTTTCACCTACTTGACTTTACCGAAAAAACCAAAGAGTATGAATCGTACTACTAGCGACGACAACCTGAGTATTGCTATTGCAAGAGTGATGTTTAAGCTGATATCAGGTGAAGCCTACTGCCAATAACTAGGTGATGTATGTTAATTATATGAATGGCTGATCTCACCAATGGTAATCGATCCACTGAGCAGCAACATTGCAGGATGAAGCGTAACGGAGCGTTCCCACTCATGCAAATTAAAATCGTGCAGAGGCGTCATGGTCTCAGCACAAACAAACGTGAGCGTCAGATTGCCACAGTCCAGGTGAATCCCGATTCGCTGGGGAGGCACTGGCGGGTTCAGCATGGTGACTTCTCCATCGTGAGCAGCCACGAGCTCAGCCTCGCGTCTCCACACGCACCAGGACATTCTAACCCCGTCCAGCCCAGCAATACATTCTTCTCTCTCCATCGCATTCTTCCCACAAGCGACACCGACCATGTATTGCTTTGCACAGCCCACGTGCAGCTCCCAGTAGTGGCGCCCGGAGGAGAATCCCTCTGAGCACAGCACTTGGGGGACGGCCTCAAACCTCTCCACGTGATATGGGTACATTTGTTCAGCTGCTTTCGTTACCGTCTTGAGGTCCGTGGACAGCAGTAGGAACCCATTTGCTGTGTTAGGGTCGTATGTTGGTGAGCAGATTTCTGTAACAATAAAAATAATTAACGGAGTTATCGGATGAATGAGATCATTTGGCGTTGATGATGCTGCCAGGGGCACCACCGCTGCTCCTGCTGTGTTGGTTGAACGGTCGAATCATGGCAGTGGGGCACGTGGGGTAGTTGTGGGGATGAGAAGAAAATGCGCAGCTTGGGGGACGGACGCGTGGAACATAACCCAATTAACATAACGAGGCACAAACACGGTTGCTGTGGAGGATACTGAGTGGTGTTGATGTCGTTATTGATGTCATCATCAACATCAACAACTGAGATCAAACGACTGCCACAAGAAGGCGTTCAAGTCGTTTCCATCTCTCACAAACCTGAGATCTAATAATCCACCGACCACCTGCACCAAACTCGTTTAATTGCCCCGTCTCCTCAGCGGGCATCCTCCACCGCTATATTTGACCATCGCTTCTCATCCCTTCTAACGGCACGTTCTGTCCCAGCCCACTTGCTCTTCTTGACCGTTTGAATGATGCAATCTACCAAGCTGCCCTGACCAGCGTGGCTACCACTCTCAAACACCACAGCATGACCTACACATCGAATTAAACATATTACGTTATAGTGATAAAGGTAATGTTGCAATGTACGAGTCATTTATGTACTTACCAGCCTGACTCTGAGCGGCGATCACTCAGCCACGTCCACACGGCACCTCCACTCGAGGCCATCTTCTCTTGGATCATCTCCACGGCGTCTCTCACAACGACAACCTCCACCTGCGACACGGCCACTGTTAGGACGTGGACTCTGCAATGGAACTTGCATGGATTGAGCACAAGGAGAATGAGGAGCAAGGAGAGACGGCAAAGATTCAGACTGATGAGGGCGAAAAGGCGACACAGAGAAAGTTACAAGCGTGGAAAGATATGGTGAGGCAAGACCATGAAAGAATGTGTAGACCAGGGTGAGGAGTTGGAACAGGCAGCGTTAGTAGCCGATCGTGTGCCTGGAGTGCGGTGGTGATGGTGGTGGAGGTGGTGTGGTAGGAGTTGTCACCTGTGGTTCCGATTGGGTTGGCTCGGAGCGATCGTCGCTACTCAGCGGTTGCCTCTCAGAGTCGGTGGCATTGACTTGGGAACCTTCATCATGACACACAAACACGGGCATTGTGGTTACACAGGGCAAGTCCTGAGGGCAGGGAACGTCCGGTTTGAGAAATCATCCCTCGAATAGCGAGGAACACAACCAGACTGGTGGCATTGAGGAGCAGCGTGTGACCCAGTAGCCCTGTGTTATTGATCACTCCGTATTCAGTGTGTGGTCAATTTGTACTTATGAAACGTGTGATTACTTCATGTGAATATATTCATTACCAATTGAAAATGAATCAACAGCAGTGAGTGTTAGGGTGAGATCAGGTTGTGGTGTTGGTATTTTTCGGTCGAAAATTTATTTTAACGTCAAGTGTGTCCATGTTTTTTATCCACTTGTCAAAGCAGGTTATAGACACTGTTTGACAACAGAGTGAACACGATGCCAGGATGACAATGGAACTCACCCACACGTTGAGATGTTTTCACTTTCTTAAACCAATATACGAAAACAGCAACTCCACCCAAAGCAGCAAAAATAATGAATACGACGACAACCCAAATCCAATTCAATGAGCCTACAACACAAAACACACACGTAATATAATGTTATATATATATGCAATATTTACACTCGCAAAACAACAAGATGTTCTACTCAGTGTTGAAGACAACGCCGGTGGATTTGAGCTAGGCCAGTAGAAAAACTCAAAACGGAATGTGTTCAAATGAATGGGGTGACTGCAAGTTTCACCACCCGCTCTTCCCACCATGGTAACTTTCTCTAGTTCAGCTGCCCAGGGCTCTTCTTATTTTTCTGACCGTCCTTTCACTGCCTCCCACTTTTCTCTATGTTGCCCTCCTCTCGATGTTCGTGTTGTTGTTTGTTGTTGTTGTTGTCGTAACTTGCTGACCCCCCTGCCCCTCCTGGACATCTGTGAAAAAGAGCTTCATAGCTCTACGGATTCCTCCTCCTCCTGTAGTCTAAATAAAGATTCTGATTCTGCTGAAATGCATCTGCTCCAAGCTCCGTCCACACAGGCTGATATTGATGGATGTGTAGTGACAGGGTGCCATTTGCTGGCCATGGGGGCTAACTACGGGTATAGGTGCGTTATAAAACGACACACATATAAGCAACCACAAGGGGGGTGTAACTGGGCCAAGGGTCAAGGAAGGGATCGGTCTGGAAGCTCCTGGAACCAGCGAGAGAGTTCCATTAGAGAGGCGTGGCCAGGAACGGGGCTTCGCCACGCTGGAGGGATATAAGGGAGAGGCAAACGGGGGTTCGAGGCTGTCATGGGGGCTGTGGTCGCTGTCATCACTGCATCTCTTCGTCGTCATCGTCACTGCATAGCTAGCCGGCTATGCAGTCTTCACGGTCATCGTCACTATATAGTCAGTCAGCTATATAGTTGTGTGTTGCCAATGTGGCTGTATGGGTGACTAAGCTAAAACTCACTCAGCGCTCGTGTTATTCCGTGAACCTGTCCTTAAAGTATCGAGAAATAAATAAGAAACCCTCACTTCTCGGAAGTCAACTCATTACAGATGTATAACACGTAGGAGGCTTTCGCGACCAATATCATCAATAAGCGTTTTTTCTGGGTGGGATTGCGTAAATATAAATGTGCCGTTAAACCTGCCACCACCCGACACAGCCCAATTAGTAAGGGTTGGCACGTAGACAGAACGTGGTGCCAATTCTTTACTAGTACAGCACACTGGCTGTGTGTTGGAGAGTGAACCCACAACATTTACAATTCGAGTACGACGTTTCGCCAGTAATTACAAACCGGCATGTATAGCTCAGTGGGTCTTACGTGTCTAAAATAAAAATAGCTTTAAAAAATCCTTCGTTTTAGTTTAATTTTGGCATAAAACTAGCCACGTGGCCGAACACAAACAAATAACGATGAACGTATTGGCTACGAAAATCTACGTTGTAATTTAACCACACCATGTACAACAAAACTTGTGTCTTACCCAGGGCCAGATTTGGACTTGCTGAGGGCCCTAAGCTATGTCAAGCTTAGGGTTCGTATATCGAGTAATTCCTGTTTATCACGTAGGAAGGACAAGATCAATGGTCCCGCATAATGCACATGCATAATGTACGTTGACTCAAGAGCTTAGAAGTTTGGTCACCACATCTACGCCTCTATATAAGGAACGAAACAGGTGAACTTCTCCACAAATTTGGCTGTCGCCTGATGAAGATAGTTATAATTACTGGCGACACGTCATACTCAGTTTGTAAATGTGGTTTGGCTCTCCAACACACCGGTGTGTTGTACTAGTGACGAATTGGCACATTCTGTTTACGTGACAACCCTTACTAGTTGGTTGTGTCGGGTGGTGGCGGGTTAAATGACACATTTATATATTTACGCGATCTAACCCAAAAAATTTCTATTATTGAGTAATGCCTGCATATTTTTTGTCATATCGGAATGAAAATAACCGCTCTCGACAGCAATTTTCCCCCTACCTCCTTAATTTCAGCCGATTATGTAAAACTGTAAATGTATTATTATTATTTTGGGGAATTTAGAGGCCCCACTTGATAATGTGATGCCCTACGCTGTAGCTTACTTAGCTTCAATGAGTTGGCTCCTAAATAGCTGACCACCAATCTGCTTAAGTTTTATATTCCACTGCGATAAACCGTACATCTGCTAATTCTCAACAGTTTTTACTGCAGGCTTTCTCCATAACTTGACAAGATTCACATGGAGCTCATGACTATAGAACTGCTTGCTGCTGTTGTGTTTAGTTTGTTGTCCTTTCCCCGCATCTCCAATTATCATGGTTGGCTTGCGTATGGTGCAAAGAAGTTAAAGGCACATACCTGCACACAAAGCTCTTTGAGGCCCTGTGCGAATAGCGCTGCAGAAACCAAGTTAATCATTATCTTGCCTAAATCCGGCACTGGTCTCACCTTTAAGAACCTCACAGGGCTCGGACTGGCTTGGTCTGTACATTCCTTCCACGCACTCGCACACCGTGTCGCCAGTGGCGATGCACTTATGCTGAACAAGCTCCCCTGGCAAAGAAAGTCGCGCGAACACAGCGTACAATTGTCATTGCTTAACGAAGGGCATTTAAGAGATGGGCCTCAATAGAACACGTGATCGCACGATGTACTGACACCACCACTGTTGGGAACACAGCGTCACGGGTGTGAGAGTTGAATAAGAATACGACAAATACTTTGTTCGTCGCAGATTCTGCATTCTTGGCAGCTGGTAAGGTTATTTTCCGAGTCTGTGAATGTTGATCCGTCGCTACACGAAAGGCAGAATGGGAAATGTTCCTCAAATACACAGTCTTCAACCTTCGCTGTCCCTGTTGGGTGAAACAAAGGTTATTATTATGTTGTTGTTGTTTATCTCAGTTGCTAATAAGAGGACCGAAGTCAATGCCTCTCACCGTGGAAGCAAAGTGGAGAGGCAGGTGAGGGGTTTTGAATTAGCTTCTATCGGAGGGCTCAGAGCAAATATTTGATTGTTTGCTACCACCTGAGAAGTCGAAACTTGAGCCTCAGCAAAGCGTTTAATCGCCAATTAACGTGAATTATACGCAATAAATTAGTTCAATGTGTACGATTTCACATCATCCACTTTGTAGCTAACTACGTTAATTTAAAATAAACTGAATTTTCTCTTTTTACTTTACCAGCTAAAGCTCACTGATCTATATTGCTTTTTTTCAGAAGCAACTTGGCCACAAATGATAGCTCAATAGATCATACCAGAATCTAAACTTATGCTGGAGAAAGCCGATGAGCTGAAAACCGCTTTTTCAAAGATGTCCAGATGGGGTGGGTCAGAAAGTTAAAACAACAAACAATCCTAAAAATTCTAGTCGTGCAAAGTATAGGGAAGGTAAAAAAAAAAATCACAACAATAAATACGTAAAACAGACAAAGTATATGTATTCAAACGGCATGAGTACATCAATTCCGAAGCTTATCATGTGGAAATTGATAGCAGCTGCCAAATTATATAAAACTCGTGACGTTGGTTTTAAATGTGGAGGGAAAAACCGGAGGACCCGGGGAAAACATCCACGTGACCACGGGGAGAGAGACGCAAACTCCAAATATACAGCAGGCGTCAGGGTCGGGATCGAACCCACGCGCACCGCTGTATCGCAGGCGTTTATTCTGTATCCTAATTTCGACTTTCGATCGGACAAAGAATCCACGTGGCTTCGTCACCTGGGGGGCACAGCGGGCAGCAGACGTTGGTCTCTGTTCTGTACCTTCCTGGGGGGCAGCCATCTTGATTGCCCTCTGCAGAGAGGGGGGCCATCTGCACATACACACACCACGTTAACTCACCTACACTCACACGTGTACCATGTTTACTCACTTATCATCAAAATTATGGACATTATGTGCGCCCATCCAACACTGAATGTCAGTCTAATAACCACGTAAATACAATTCCATACTATGGGGACCTCATTTGCCAGTAAAAATATGATAATTGGTTCTTTACCCTTCTATCTGGCAAGGTGTCAGTTTTGTTGCCAGATAGAAGGGTAAAGAACCAATTATCATACAATTCCATAATTCATGTTACTTATTTACGAGTGCTAGCCACCACTCATAAAACAAAGACAACCGGCTGACTCCCGAAGTGAGGGGAGTGTGTGAACGCTTGACCCGAACTATCCTTTAACAACACAAAGATTCATCGAGGCAGCTCGATTCTCTTTAGTCTACGAGTTAACTCCCTGCTACTTCACAACCGCTGCTCACCCTCTTTCCTCCAATTCCAAAACCCCTCCACATCCTGGCAGCGCCACCCCTCCCTATTGATAACCCCTCCCAGTTTCTTCCACTCACTCCTTTATTACCAACCCGTGCCCCCCCCCCCCGTTTCATTACCCAATGAACCCTCCACAGGTGAACAATCGCAATCACCCCTGTGAACACCACACCGCCACCGTCCCCTTATCGTCACTCGAGCAGCAAGCACAAATGTGCAATTGATCGCCTGGCTAGGAGAGACCATCGAGCATCTACAATACCTAGCACAGACAGACAGGTATTGGAATTGTTACCCAGATTGAGGGACCCAAGGTCACAGCGACCATGCAGAGGCTGTGGACAGCCGTTTTGAAAACGCAGTCTCGACGGTGAGCTCCATAATTGCGTACTAATCCGGCCCAGTTGCAGCCCTGCGGACACAACACTTGTGAGTAATTAATGTTGTGCCAGATGTAGACTACACAAGGTGCATTGTGAATACCATGCAAAGAGTTTGAAGATGACGTGATGGGCTCACACCTCTCGTCTTCTCAAGATTACTTTTTCCATTTGGCCCTTTCACGTTTTTACACTCGGATCCCAGTTTGTTCAGCATGGGAGCCGTCTAACGCGTGACGCCGTGAGCGGTGGCTACCCCCTCACTCCGCTACTCGGCATCTGTGAAAATAGCTTCGTAGGTCATGGGATTCATCCACTATGAATATTCTGATTCTGATTCAGTTCACGACTCTCGAATTGGTCCCTGGACTACGCAGCCCAACGGTGTCCACGTTAACTCCCCCCTCCAGTGGAGGAAGTCCACGGTTTTATGACAAGGACCCAGCTCTGCATGCACCTCCTGTTGGCTTCTCGCTACGTGTGAAGACAAAGATCCCCAGTACAGATCCACAGTGCAGCTTCTCTAACCCTTTGCTGTTAGCGAGTAGCAGCGCCTATGAAGATCAACCCGAGGGGTTTGGTGGCCAGCACGACCACGGTCCACCTTTGTCTCTCTGAGGCTGAGTCACAATGCAAACACAGACACACACACAGACACATACACAGATACACACACACACATACACAGATACACACAGACACACACACACAGACACACACACACACGTAACTTACCAGCATGAGTGTGTAGGTTAGGAGCGTGGTGAGCAGGCGGAATGGAGACATGGCCCAGGAGTTGTCCACACGGATGTGTGGATGCGAGCGAGAGGCGATGGACTCCCCTTGACACTCACGTCGGGTTTCTGACCCTTACTGAGGACGAGGAGGGTGCGGCTCGGCTTTATGAACTTTGAGTCCAATAAAAACGCAACTGGTAAAGGTCATTCTTTGGGTCTTTCGGTAAAGTCACGTAGATTTTATTTAAACATATCGACGTGACTTTACCGAAAGACCCAAAGAATATGAATTATTGGAGTCACGAAAGCTTTAAGTGAAGATTTGGTAGAGGTCATTACAACACTCACGATCATGTAAAAGGTCAGAGTTAATGTATTTATTTATTGAAGTTAGCAAGGTTGTACGGACATTGGAAGAGAGACAAACTGAATGGGGAACTTAGACGTTGAGCAATGCCAGTGAAAGAAGCAGACAGAGAAGTGTTGTGTGGTGGCTGGACACGGTGTGGACGACACAGGCAGTGTGGAAGACCGAGTGGAAGGGGCCAGTGAGCGTAGTTCATGGGAACAGTAACCAAAGTGATAGCGATAGAAGAGTAATACGGAGGTGACTGACTGCTGGTGAGGGAGTGAGTCGAGTGATTGACTGAGTGCTGAATCGTCTATTAACGGGACTGCGTTAAGTTGAATGCTATTAGCACAACGAGTTTGGAACTGTGTGCCCCGCCCCAGATATTAAAACAGCAGTGGGCTTTCGCGACCAATATTCTTCAAAATGAAGTGGTTTGGATCTCTTCTTCGTGTCTCATGTCCAGCCTTGTTAGTCTTTGGCCAATATTCTGCACAGGCCACCACTTCTGGTGTCGGCAAATATCCAAATCTTGAGGAATGCATTGTGGTGCTGCAGGGCACCTCAGGAGATGATCCATGGTTTGCTTCTCCTGACAAGCACATTGCTCGGTTGCACAGAAGCGCCGTGATTTCATGAGAGGGTTGCAACTTGCCGAAACCCACTCTCAGTCTGTGTAGGCTCCGCCATGTGTGTCATTTGCAATTGGAGCCAGATGCGAGCTCCTCACTGGGGATGATTCCTCGCCGGCTCCATTCAGCAGTTTTGTCACTCGATGTTGTCCCATTATTTACACCAGAGGGAAGTTCTTGCAGATTGCGGCGATGTGGTCACTGGTACAGTGGAGCACAAGAAGCAGTTTCTCGATGACAGACGACGGTGGGCTGGCTGATGGCCATGATGGACGTCCCCCTCTAGGACTTGCCGGTCGTGGTCACCCGACACCCTCCTCCTGATGTTCGGGGCTGCTATGCCAGAAAGTGCAAATAGGCAGGGAACAGGGGTGGCTCTCAGGCACCCTGCTATGACTCTGTACATGTCGTTTACGGCGGTGTCGACATATTGACTGTGGGTTGAGAGTACCTCGGTAGAGCATGCATATTCAGCCACAGAGATACAAAGTGCTAAGGCAGGAGTGAGTAGAGTGGGTGGATGTGCTCCCCACTTTGATTTTGGGAGCTTTCGCATAATGTTGTTTCGTGTGTTGACCTTGGCTTTGGTATTTAAAGTGTACTTTTTGTATCTGAGTATACGATCCAGTGTTACCCCGAGGTACACTGGGTGACTCTGGTGTTCCAGGCTCTGGCCTCCCCAGGTGACATTCAGGTGTCGCTCTGCATTCCAGTTTTTAAGCTGGAAGGCAAAGATTTGTTTTTACTCTTGTGGGGTTTGAGAAAATTATTTAGGAAGCATCTTGACATCTCGTCTAGTGCCCTCTCCAAGATCTTCTCCGTGTGTTCTCGAAATTCCCTTTTGCTGTGTGGTGACACAGAGGCCAATAAGTCGATTCAAACTTGTACCCAACTAATTATATTGCGATCCCGAGAGCAAGGATGACGAATTATCTCATCCACAATTTAGTGTTATGTATAATACTGTACATTTGGGGTGCAGTGTGATGAATACACGATTTCCCTTTATGTAACACAGCAGCTTATGCTCTTGTATAGCTATTCAGTGGTAATGTAGGTGCCTGGTCCATCCAGGATCTATTGTTTAGAAACATGTTATCGAAGACAATGTTAAGATGCTGTGGTGTTCATTCATTGTATTGGTGTTTCTGGGTACTAACAGATGCCGTATCTGTGCTGTTTTCTTACCAGTTTTACCTCGTTAAATTCAATAAATGACGTTTGGAGTCGGACGTTCATCCTGGCTCTGAGGGTTTATTGGACGCGAGGTTAACTACTCAGCTAGCGGTGCAACGCAGTGCACAGCGAGGCCGAGACACACAGTGAAAATTAACTTGATAATCATCGACGTGAAAATCATCTCCGTACTATGAACCCGAATCGTCACTGCTCTACCGCCTATACCACTAAAACCCCACATCAGGAAATTTGCTAGCGTTGCTGTGACTTTTAAAAATGTTTCTAAATTGTGGTATTCGCACAACCTCCGACACAACGCGTCCATGGTTTCTGTGGAGGGGGACAGAAAGACCACGTGGGGGGTGGGGGGGGGGGGTACTTGACCACAAGCATTGTGGTTAATGGAGACATGATTCTTAGTATAAATTTTTTAATTTTGTTGGCAGAAAAAAGGGGAAAACCAATTCTTATAATAGCTGATTGGCACGTTTTGTTGATGTAACAAACCTTACGAATTTGCTGTCAGGTGGTGGTGGGTTAACGACACATTTATATTCACGCGATGTAACACAAAACCCTTTATTATGAATACGATGAGTTACGTCAAAAACAAAGATAACGTGGTGCTACGCTGCGTGGAGCCATCAATTCTCTGCACTTGAGAATCTGGATTCATCACGGGGCGAAGTCTTCATCTGAATTCTCAACGCCTGCACAGTCGGCGTTTTGTGTCCCTCCACTCCCACGCTCTTCCCTCTCCCCTCCTCCACCACCTCCTCCCCACTCTTCTTCTCTCCTGCACCATTCCCAGCATCGCTCTCCTTTACTTCAACCTCTCCCACCTCACTCGAAGCTCCTGTCAAGTACCAATAAACTGCCCCCATAATTGTCTGCACTCTCCATTCATTCTCTTAATTATTCCCTCCACTCCTCGCAGTTTCCTTCACTTCCCTAGCACCATTTACCCCCATTCATCCACCCTCAACTCGGTCGATGATGCTTCACTCTCCTTCACAACACTCTCCTTTACTCTCTCATCCTGCCCCACCTCACTTTCCACTCCCTCACTGCTTCGCACACCGCTTTTTATTGCTGCTTTACTCAAAACTTTCCCAAAGTTCTGCGTTATTCCTTCATGATGTGCTTTACAGAACCCTCAGCTCCCTTCACCGTGTCCCCACTCTCCCCAGCGGTGAATTCTAATGCTCCTCCAGCCCCCACCTCGTTCTTTACAACTCCACTCTTACTCACATCGCTCGTCTCTCCTTCACTCTTGCACCCGTCGACTTTCCCTTCTTCACTCTTCACCACGGTACTCTTCTCTCCTCCGCTCTTCTGTCCTCCACGTTCCTTCACTCTCGCACCCTGCGCCACCTCAGCCTCCACTGCCTCACCACTACGCACATAGCTCTTTATTCCTGCCTTGCTTAAAACTTTCCCAACAAGGTTCTTCTTATCTTTACTTTTCACGTTGTCTTTTAAAGTCGCCGCCGCTCCCTTCTTCGCATCGCCACTCTCCCTATCAGTGCTTTCTACTGCTCCTCCACCCTCCACTTCGATCTCTACGACTCCGCTCCTACTCACATCGCTCTTCTCTCCTTCACTCTCCTTCACTCTCTCATCCTCTCCAACATCACTCTTCATTGCCTTAGTGCTATGCTCATCACTCTTTATTCCTGCCTTACTCAATAATTTTCCAACAAGGTTCTTCTTTATAACTTTACTTTTCACGTTGTCTGTAAAAGTCTCCACATCTTCCTTTGTCGCATCGCCGCTCTCCCCTGCAGCATTTACCACTGCTCCTCCATCCTGCGCCTCGGGGTCAGGGTTCACTCTCGCGCTCTCCCACCCCTCGCTCTTCCCTGCCCCACTATCCCCCACCTCACTCTTCACTCCTCCACCCTCTCCCACATCACTCGCTACTCCAGCCTTACTTTGACGACCATTCTCTTCTGCTCTCTCCTCATCATTACTCTTCCCCACCTCACCAGTCACTCCTTCATCCTCCTCAACCCGTAGACTCAGGCGAAGTATGGTGACCGTCCCCTTGTGCACGCACAGGGCGGGGTAGAGATGGCTTGGGAAGGCGGTGGCATTGAATGAGTGCAGCCGCCTCCTGGTGTCGGCGCAGTAGAACGAGAGGAGCCCCTTTTCCCAACACAGGTGAACGCCGATCTTCCTGGGAGGAGGGCGCACGGCCGCCAGTGCGGTGTGGCAGCCGCAGTGGCTCGCCGCGTAGCCGCCCTCGCGTCTCCACAGGCACCAGGAGTCCGCGCCCGCGCCCAGGAGCTGCGCCTCCGCGCTCCCTCCGCGCGGCAGAGTGGCGCACGCGACGCCCACTCTGAACTGCTCCGCGCCGCCCACGTCCACCTCCCAGTAGTGCGCGCCGCTGGAGAAGCCCTCGCGGCACAGCGCCTGAGCAGAGTTCTCAAAGCGCTCGGGGTGGTGGGGGTAAGAGTGGCGCTCGGAGGACAGAGTCACTGTCCTGAGGTCGACGGAGAGGCGGAGGTCGGAGTTCACGGAATTGGGGTTCACGGTGGGAGAGCACCTTTCTGTGACGACAACAAAACGATAATTCCAACTTCATTGAAACAACCGAGACGTTTATTTTGGTTTTGACATCCGGGGCTGAATTTAAGTGTTGTTTAAAGACGCCACATTGCCAGCATAATTGTTTACCAACAAACCACATCTTTGGATGTATCTTCCTTCCATGAAATGATGGCAGTCGCAGCTTTCTGCTCACACTGGAGCTGGCCCCTCATTACGGAGGGCCCAGTTTGATTTGTGGCCATGTTTACACGGTGATGGGAACGCGACTATCATTAAGACACCCATCATCCCATCGAGCCTGAGTGACGGCTTTGCCACAGATGAAGGGGACGTCATCACAGCCCCATATCTCCCTCAGTCTGCTCCCGATTCCTTTGACACATCAACACCTGCCCAGCTGTACCCGAGCGATGTTTTAAATAATAGTAAACTCACTAATGCATGTCAGGCCGTTGTGAGATTTGGTGGATACTTATTCACATACCTGACGATTGTAGCATGGAGAGAAAGCCCGTTTCATTCTCTTTAAAGGCTTTCACCATCATATTGAGCTCCTCAGCCTTATGTTCGTTTTTAACTTCACTCTCTATGAAATCTTGGCACTTGTAGGGGTCTTTTTTGTGCGTGTACGCCGTCCAGTAGACGTGCTCCTTGATGTGGCCCTGCATCAACATCTCATGCAGGAAGAGATAGGGTCTCCTAGACAGCAGCGGTGCCATCTGATAGCGCTCTGCCTTAGATCCAGATAGAGGTTTTGGACTTTTCTCACGAGTGAGGGGTTGGGCTGCGGAGTGAGAGAACAAAACGCGTGGATGAGAATTGGTGCCTTAACCTCTGCCTGAGCGTGTTTGTGGTCATTCATGATCCATGAGAGTGGATGACGAGGAAGTGATGAATCTCTGATGCAAAACCTTCAACTTTCTAATCGTTCACCTTTTGGCAATGATACTTGACACCTTATAGCGTTCTCTGGTCTGACACTGGTGAGACGAGGCCATGTAGAAGGCTGTCGCTGGTGTAGGTCAATCAGTTTCAAAGACAATGCCACATATTATTAAATCATGTTTGTCTGCATGTTCACCACAGGTCTGTGTGTTTAATGCAGACTTGATTCCTTGAAAAAGGTTTTTAGTTGGTGTTTGAACATCTTAATATTTTTTATTGCTAGAAAGAGTAAAACATATTCTTATTTTCATGTTTCTAATCGTATATGTGTGACGAGCCTAACCCTACAGTTCAGAAAATGTTAGAATTATAATGACGCTATGGATTAAGATTGTGGCATTTATTTCACTGGGAATATTTTAACACGTTTCGTTTAAATAGCTTCTGACCGACAGTCATCTTTCACTGGGAAATTACCAGAATTATCCATCAGTTATTCAGAAAGATAACCATGAGGGTACATTTAGGTGTAGTGGTGTCTATTTTGAAGCATTGCTGATGTTTAATGTACACGTAAATGTTTTAAATAATTGATTTCCGTCTGTAATGGACTTCCCCTTGGACTGAAAATATAAGAAGAGCGTAAACATTGGGCAGCCTGAACTTTCTAAAATATTCTGTTTGATCAAATAACCAGATTTAAGTCTGCTTCTGGATAATGGCTTTGTGAAAGTATATACATACACAAAGTGCAATACTAACTCTTTGATTTTGCATCTTTTTTATTACCATAAAATTATGGAGAAAAACCTAAACATGATTGGAACTGAGCTTGGTCCTACCACATTTTCCATCTGGTGGTTATGAAATCTGCAGAATCCCACGATGGCATCAAGCTCTGAATCTCTCTATTCATGGTGATGTTGAACAGAACTGTGATGCTGCACCTGACAGAGAGCGGGAAAGCCCAATAGCAGTTACCGTTGTGTACATAGCAAGATAAACAAGCAGACAATATGCATCCTGCACTGGTATCTAGGAGCGCATCACTTCTGGGAATGCACCACTTACTCATCAGAAAGGGTCATCGTCTATAAATATCTGGTAGTTCACCAGCACTGGTTCTAGCGAGCCAGACTGCTGATGAGACACTGCATGTCGAAACCAGTCCGGAGTTTGTGTGGAATCATTGCTGCTGAAATGATGCAATACCGGAAGGCGTTGTCGCTCATGGGATGATTACAAAGCATATTCACGGGGTCTTTCGGTAAAGTCACGTAGATAGGTTCAAATAAACAAAACTACGACGTTTCGATCGCAACGCAAGCGGCCGTCTACAGGCGACCGCTTGTGTTGAGATGTTATTTTCTTTGAGCCTATCGACGTGACTTTTACCGAAAGACCCACAGAATATTAATTCCTGCAGTCACGAAAGCTTTAAGTCAAGATTACTAAGCACTTCATTATTTATGTAGAGGGACAGACACGTGAAGGATGCGTGATGTCTCTGCTCATTTATGTCGCCATTGATATTCTCCACAATGATGTGAATGGCTGTGTTGCGTTATTGTACACACGAAGACGTTAGCGTTTAGAAAAATGACCGTACCTATGGTGATCGATCCGCTGTGCAGCCACATGGCAGGATAAAAAGGAAGCTTGTATGTTAATTCTAAACGGCGTACCCACTTCAGTGTAAAAGTGTGCAGAGGCGTCATGGTCTCGGCACAAACAAACATGAGCTTCAGATTGTCACAGTCCAGGTGAAGCCCGATTCGCTGGGGAGGCACTGGCGGGTTCAGCACGGTGACTTCTCCATCGTGAGCAGCCACGAGCTCAGCGTCGCGTCTCCACACGCACCAGGACGCAGCGCTGTGTCCCAGATCTTTTACACTCTCTTGGGTTTTGAAAAAATCCTTCCCACCAACGACACCTACCATGTATTGCTCTGCACAGCCCACGTGCAGCTCCCAGTAGTGGAGGCTGGAGAGAAATTTATCCGAGCACAGCACCTGGGGGTGACTCACAAACCTATCCCCGTGCTTTGGGTACGGATGAGCATGAGTTGCTCTCGTCACCGTCTTGAGGTCCGTGGACAGGAGGAGCATCTCGTTTGCTGTGTTCGGGTCGAATGTTGGTGAGCAGATGTCTGTAACAATAATAATATCAGCGCTGTTACTGAGTGGTTCCAAAACTATGGGTCGTGAAGTATTGGTGGGTCGCAAGAGGTACTGAGGTGGATCGCAGAACAAGGCCCAGTGAAACATAAACATTTGTACTTTTACATTATTTATAATATCACGTTACAGTAATACAGGTAATGTTGCAATGTACGAGTCATTTGTGTAATTACCAGCCTGACTCTGCATGTCTAGAAATGTTCTCTTCCTGCTACTGAAGTCCTCGTAAATGTCCCTGAACTTCCCGCAGGCCTCCTCTCCTCTGTCTACCACGAGGGCGATGACGTAGTGTGCCCGTCGCGACGCATCAGGGAGGCCGCGTGCCTTCCAGGACTCGGCCTCGTCGATGAGCTCCCGCAGGAAGAGGTCGAGCAAGAGGTGGGGCCCGACCCCACCGCCTCCACATTCCAGCAGCTCTGAGCGGCGGTCACTCAGCCACGTCCACACGGCACCTCCACTCGAGGCCATCTTCTCTTGGATCATCTCCACGGCGTTTCTCACAACGACAACCTCCACCTGCGACACGGCCACTGTTATGACGTGGACTCTGCAATGGAACTTGCATGAATTGAACACAAGGAGAATGAGGAGCAAGGAGAGACGCAAAGATTGAGAATGATGAAGGCGAAAAGGCGACACAGAGAAAGTTACAAGCGTGGCAAGATATGGTGAGGAAAGTCCATGAAGGGATTTGTAGACCACGGTGAGGAATTGGAACAGGCAGCGGTAGTCGACAGGGAGCCAGTGCAGTTGAGTGAGGAGGGTCGAGGTATGGGGTTTTTTTTATCAATCAGGAAAACAGTTTTATATTTTTTACTTTGATTATTCCTAACACGTTGATGAGTTTACACTTTGATCGGATACTCTGCAGCTGAAACAGCGTCGCTGTAGGAGAATGAGTCCTTGACATTGGGTTCACTGCTCAAACTACCGTTGCCAGAGAGTGACTTAGTCTGGCGGTGCTGTCGGAGTGTCACCTGTGGTTCCTCTGTGGGTGGCTCGGGGTGGTTCTCCTCTTGTAGCGGTTGCAGCTCCACATCGGTGGCCCCTGCTTGGGGATTGTCCAAAGAAAAATCATGAAATTGTAGTAAAATACAACGCTCATCATACGGCAGTGCCCTCGCTCAGCGCGCCGGGTTCACACAGCGACGCGCTTCCGCTCCTACGCGGTTCTTCTATGAGGAAATTCTTATCACGCAACCCAGAACGCACGCCGTAATAAACACGGACCATGCACCATTATAACACGGAACAGGAACCGTTATAACGCAGTGTCTGAGCAGTGTTGATGACGAACTACTTCATTGAGCTGCCTTGCTGAGTGGTGCAGTGATGCGGTCAGCGGAGTGATCCACTAACGCATTAGAGGCATAGCCTCAGTTACTATTCCCTCCATGTCACTGCGTGGTGTGCGTAGTAGTACATCGTATCTCGCCACACTTCATCAGGAACGCGTTTTTCACTTCATGCGGAACCTCTTCAGGAACGCATCCACTACTACTAGCGCGTTAAATGAGGACTCGCTGTATTCCAGTGTAACATTCACACAAACTTGTAAACTGTTAAGCCTTCAAGCACAAATTAGCTGCTGTCCCCATCCGTTGCAAGATTGTACAATTGCCGTGCGTTTCTGCGCTGGCAATTCTGAAGCTGTGTAGGTTACCTCTCTGCTGTGTGGAATTTAGTGCCCGCGATCATCCACAGGCTCTGCTAGCTCGCTCGCTCGTCAGAATTGTTTCCCGAACAAATAAATAAAATGCCCTGCGCAGCGTCTGTGCAGCGTCTGTGCAGCGTCTGCGAATCTGTTCATCCTTCCACATCCAGCGAGCCTCAGCCGTGTCGCCTCGACATCGGTGACAGTGGCTGGGACCAAGCTGTCCATGAGTGTTCATTATCACATTCTCAATGTAAATATCTGGTTCATTATTTGAAATCGTGGTGTGGATGTCTCTTCAACTTCTTTTGCCAACCATGCCAATCGGATGGGTGAGTGGTAATAAAGTCAGATTTAAATGTAGTAATGCATACATTAATTAATTATTTACAGCATACAGGACACCCCCTAGAACTGGAAACGCTCTCCCTCACCCTAATTATTCCATCATCGAGAGATTTTATTGCAAGAACAATCGTTCCATACTCATTCGAGTGGGAAGGCACTTTAACTTGAAGCTTCTTAATATCACAGAACGTTGGGAGACTCGGATGAATGAAGGTTTATGTCAAATTATTAACACGGGAGACCAATGGGTGCATTGCAATCCTCGACACGAGAGGACGGCTCACCTGCATGTGGACGCATTTTAGATCTCTTTATCCAATATACGAGGCCGGCAAATCCACACAGAGTAGCGATCATGACGATGACGAGAGCCACAATCCAACCCCTTGAGCCTACAACACAAACAAGCCCGCTGTTTATGTACACACACACACACACATGAAGTATAATTACAAAAAGGAGAGGCTGGCCCTGGGAACATTTCATTTTCAACACGGGCTCAGGCCCGCAGCAAACATGCTCTTTCAAATTACGTTTTTGCGGTTTGACGCAGCAAAAATTCTCCTCTCCGTGCTGACGAGCAGTGCCGTGAGAGTGCTGCATCCGTTGAAAGGTGTCAATGAATCGACTGTGAGAACGAACGATTTACCATGTTTTTTTAGTGCGTTAACGTAACAGACTCAACATGCACAACGGCACAACACAGATGTTCGCGCACTGCCGCGTGCATCTAGAGCAGGGGTCGGGAACCTTTTTGACTGGGAGAGCCATAAAAGCCAAATATTTCGAAATATATTTCATTGAGAGCCGTATAGTATTTTTAACGTATATTAAATTAAATATGTCTTACTTTTAATGCGACTTCTGGTGCTGCATGGTTTTGCTGATGGCCTTGTAGTCTGGTTCATACGTGGTGAGGTTGAGCTTCGTGCAGGCGTGACCCGTGAAATTTATCTTCAAAACTAATTTCTGTTTACTTTAAAATGACACAGTTTTTATTAAGCAATATCACAAGTATTTTAAAATCAGTTCCAAACTGATTTTTTATTACTTTTTATTATTTTTTCAACTCAAAATTATCTGGAGGCCATATGCCGTCACTGGAAGAGCCATATATGGCTCGCGAGCCATAGGTTCCCGACCGCTGATCTAGAGGACACCAATGATGCCGGTTCTCTCGATGCCTCTGGCGCAAGATTTGTTGATGTTTCTGTCACACGGCAGCTTCACATAGAAGCTCACAGGCGTAAACAAGATGACACATCTGAAGCTTCTCCCAGCAGGCTATCCAGACTGTTGGAGCAAGTCCTGGCAGTGAGCACCTTTGAAGGCCAACACGGCACTTGAGCGGGTGGTGAAGCCAGCACCACCCACGCCCCCCATTACTAATGTTTACACATTGTACCCGGTACTCAGTTAAGGCTGAGTCGACGTAGCGTAGGCACAGAACTGGTTCAGATAATCGCCACTGATTTTAGCTGTGGCTGGGAAGTGAACTCAAGATCTCCGGGTTCAAATCACAGTGGGCAAACCACCGCACTACCGCTCCCAATATGCAACCTAAATATAAACACAAACACGCGATGTATACAATGCAACTTGTGTCTGACCTTTGATTTCCTCACAAAGCAGGGACTGGCTTGCTCTTTGTAGTCCCTCTGGGCACGTGCACACCGTGTCGTGAATGGTGGTGCAAGGATGCTCTAAAATCTCATCTGCAAGAAAATACCAAGACACACGCCTATCGCCAAACAATCAGCACCATGAGTTGTAACAATCTGCAAGTTTTGCATTTAAATATAAGTTTGCGTTAATTTTTTTACTTGGGACTTCATTTCCTCCACAAGACCGTAATATCCATAATTGTGACTCGGTTTGGCTGTTCGAGGTACCGGCATTATTTCCACGTCATTATAAGAATCGTGGATTAACCTTGACGTAGCTTAGGCAGCTCCTTTAGACCCATATGTGCATTGGGTAAAGTGGAAGATGATTTTCGTTGTGGACCACCCATCATTCGGTCAAATATTTGGCTTAATGTGACTATTCTGGGACAACAACAAAAGGAAAGTGAAAAGTGCGGTGGTTGTTGTTGTTCGAAGAAATGGGAGGAACCGAAAGAGAGGAAGACCTAACAGGGAATGTCTTGACGATGTGGCCACTACTTGAGCTTATTGGCACTACCAGACAGAAGAACGTGGAAAAAAAATGAAGAAATGTGCAGTGGACACCTACTATGGGCTATCTGACCATGGATCGTGATGACGATGATTCTGCTATCCGAGTACAGAACGTGTGCATACAACCCACCAGGTGGCCATTGGTGTAGGCTCTCAAACTGCTTAGTGCAACACGCGTGTGGTGAACTACTCACTATGACGTGAGTCTAGTGTGGGATGGACTACTCGCTATAACGCAAATCAAAGAGCAGAATGATAAAGCTGGTTTAGTCTGTTTTGTGTTTGAAAAGTAACCGAAAGAACCTAAGAGCTGATCTTTAAGCCGCGCCACAGTAGTCAAAAAGTGGTTGAATGATCGCTTCAACAAATTGCAGGCACAATCTAATAAGAATAAAATGTTTCTTTCTGTATAAAACCCCGATTTTGGATTTGATTTACTTTGAGATGTGATGAAGTAATGTGAGATTGGATTTTAGGTAAAGTTTACAATGGTGGGTCCTGTATAGTACATCCAATGCAAATAAACGAGTAGAATAAGAATTAAAGTTTTAGCGGACCTTTGGGAGGCCTCGAACCGGATCAGACATTCGTCACTCACGTAGGCCATGAGCAGGTGCGTAGTGCAGTGCACTAGACGCTACGTTACCGCTCCCCACATCTTTGTCTATCGTCAATGTTTTACGCTACAACAAAGGCAGCTTCAGAGATGGGTGTCAGTGACCAGGGAATGTACTGACACCACCACTGCTGGGAATGCGGCACCATGGGTGGGAGAGTTGAATAATAAAAACAACAAATACTTTGCTCTTCGCAGACTTTGCATGCGTTACAGCTGCTCAGGTTGTTTGCCGAGGCTGTGAATGAGTCTCCATTGGCACATGACATGCAGACCGGAAACTCTCCATCAGATCTGCAATCTTCGTCCTTAGACGTTCCTGTTGGGTGAACACATTGTTATTTTTCGATTTTGGGGTCTCACAGTGACAGCAAAGGGAAGGGAAACCGATTAAGGGTTTTGAATATACAGTTGATCATCGATTAACCAGCATGCGATTATCCCAAAGCTGTAACCAGTCCAGCGATCGGCACCGGGTGCGTGTGACCACAAAAGTAGCTACGCTTGATTTAAGTGTCAAGTATTATATACAGCCCATCAATACACGCGATACAACTTAAACAATGAAAATACGTGTTTACCTTTCTCATGACTAATAACTACGCTAATAAAAACAGATAATATAGAGCGCCATCCGGCAAAAAGTGCGCGTGTAATTTGGCGTTCACACCAGTCCGGTGATTTTCAAACGCATCTTGTTGTGCATATCATTATCATCATCAGAGTTGTTTCTTTTTGTTTGCATTTAGAATTCTTGTGTTGTGGTTATTGCAAACATGATGCCTTGTATAAAGGTGTCAGTTTCTGTACCAGTTAAAAGGGTAAAAATCTATTACTACTAAGTGTGTAGTGGTAAAGTGAATACGGTAACTTGTTACAGGAGGATATTTATTTCCGTCTATTTGTATGCTTATTTATGCCCCTTTCACGCTGTAAACACATTTAAAACACTAAAAAAAAACATGCACAACACCTCAACACGTAATGTTATGCAAGAATGTAACAAAAACAGCTATATTCTTGGTTCTGTCGGTAAAGTCACGTAGAAGGGAAATAATAAAATAATATTAATATATTGTATTGTTTTATATTTATATTATTTTTTTATTTCCCTTCTACGTGACTTTACCGAAAGAACCAAGAATATGAATCCCTGCAGTCACGAAAGCTTTAAATAAAAAATAGCTATTTTAAATAGCGATGTTAGTGATAATCCAGCGTTTTAGAAAATCTGGCACCTCCTTCCCCAGGAAGCCACCAGATAATTGATGATCGACCGTACGTACAATTTGTACTCATATACTTTATTTATGCTTATTTATAGTGCCTTGCTTACCTCTACTTTGCACTCCTATCGTAGTTTGTATTGTGGTTGTTGCTGTAACTTTGTGACACCCCCACAGCCCCCACTGGACATCGGTGAAACAGAGCTTCAAAAGCTCATCAGATTCCTCCTCCTGGAGTCTAAATAACGATTCTGATTCTAAATAGTGTTGGGTTTTATCAGGATGACAAAACACAAGAAGAATGGAGTTTCCAAAGCGAGGAGAGTGTGGTCAGGGCCGGAATATGACAATGCACAGGCTACGTCAGGTCTGTCTGTGTGTGTGCCCTTTGTGTGTGTCTGTGTGTGTCTGTATGTGTGTCCTTTGTGCGTCTCTTTGTCTGTGTGTCTTTGTGTGCCTTTTGTGCATATTTGTGTCTGTGTTTGTGCAATTGTGGTGACTCATTGCGCCCCTTCCGACAAGCAAGCCAACATCAGGACTCAATGTGAGTGGAAATGTAACCTTTTCTATTCATGTTACTTATTTTATGTTTTATTTACTATTCAGTTTTTGTTATTGAACTGTAACACATTTCATAACACTGACCGCATGGGAATTCATGAACTAATTATGGCGGTAAGTCGATGACTGTCCAATTAGTTGCTTCGTTACCTGAGGGGCACAGCTTGCAGCAGAAGTTAGTCTCGGTTCTGTACCTTCCTGGGGGACAGCCACCTTGATTGCCCTCTGCAGAGAGTGGAGCCATCTACCCACACACACACCAAGTGAACTCACTCACACTCACACGTGAAGCACGTGTACCACGTGAACTCACTCACACTCACACGTGTATCACGTGAACTCACTCACACGTGTAGCACGTTAACTCACTCACACTCACACGTGAACTATGTTAACTCACTCACACGTGAACCATGTTAACTCACTCACTCACACGTGAACCACGTTAACTCACTCACACGTGTATCACGTTAACTCACTCACTCACACGTGTATCACGTTAACTCACTCACTCACACGTGAACCACGTTAACTCACTCACACGTGTACCACGTTAACTCACTCACTCACACGTGAACCACGTTAACTCACTTATGCAGTCGACCCTTCTGCATCGCGACTTCCCCCATCGCGGTTTCGATATATCGCGGGATCGGCACAAGAAATAAAATAGATTTTTTTGGGGGTTTTGCGAAAGCCGCAGACGACACACAAAAAGTTTAGTAACTCATAAATGCATAAAACATACGTATAGTACCGTATAATATTAACGTCTTTTATCTTTTAATACCATAGAAAAATGCAATTTCTTTTTTAAAGCTACATTTTCTAAAAAGTTAGTTTGCGAAAAGAACTGCGATTCTACGCGCTGGCTTGGAGGACGCCAAAGCGTGTTCACGGCAGCCTCCCACGTGATGTCTCACGTGAGATCTCGCAGTGGTCTTTGTATTTCGCGTTTGTCGAATCTTTTTGTGCCGTTTTAGTGCCCTAAACTGAACTAAAAAATAATTCACGCCGTTTTTCCAGATCGCGGGGGGCCTGCGCCTGGTGTACGGTGTTTTTTCTGCAATATTTTGCTGTATTTTCTTGGATTTTCTGTTTGCACTTAGTCACTTAAGATGTTATAATGTTAAAGTTTTTTGTTTGTTGCGGTTGCACCCGATTCAAGAGCCGAATGGCTCACAGGGCTACACCTAATACATGAACTTGAACCCCCGCGATGTGGAAGGGTCGACTGTCCTGCCAAAGATGTCTCACGACATGCAAAGACAAAGATCCCCCGTATTGCCCCCGAAAGGCTGTTGGGGCAAGTGCTGTGAGCGATCACATATTAAGGCCGGCACAGCACACAGTGTGTAGGTGGCCAGCACCACGCTCGACCGCCTTTGTCTCCCCAGTGGCGATGTCTATACACCGCTACACCAGGCACTCATTTGAGGAAGCTGAGTCGACCTCGGGTAGGCCCAGGACCGGTTCGAATATTCGCCACTGTTATTGATTGTAAACAACAACAATCGCCATTCACCACTAAGTGGAGGTGACGTCACCACGGAGCTAGTGCCAAGCTAGGTGCACTTTGAGGCCACGTGAAGTGTCAGACGCCCGCTGGCAAGAGGTCACGAGACAGACCCAGCAGGTGCCATAGGTCGACTGACTGAGATGACCGGTAGATGCACCACCTGTGCCCCCCTACTGTGCCCCCCTACTATGCCCCCTGCTATGTCAACAAGGCACAGTTGATTATAAACACACAAAGACAAAGATCCCCCATGTAGCCTTAACACTGTAGGGGCAAGTGCTGTTAGCGAGCACCTATGAAGGCCGGCACGACACACGAGGGGGTGGGTGGCCAGCACCACGGCCGGCCGTCTTTGTCTCCCGAGTGGCGATGTTTACACACCGCACCAGGTACTTATTTGAGGCTGAGTCGACCTAGGGGAGGCCCAGGACCGGTCCAGATAATCGTCACTGGTGTTGGCCGTGAGCGGGAATCGAACCCGGACAAACACACAGATACACAAACACAGAGACACACACACAGACACACACAAAGACACACAAGGGGGACACTTAGACACAGACACACACAGACACACAGGGCACACACAGGCACACATACACAGACACACACACACGGACAAAAAGATGTCCAAAAAACATTCAGACACACAAAGATACAACACAGATCCCCCATAGAGCCTTAACAGACTGTAGGGGCAAGTTCTGTTTGCGAGCAGCACCTATGAAGGCCAGAACGGAACACTAGGGGGTGGGTGGCCAGCACCACGCCCGACGGCCTTTGTCTACCTAGTGGCAATGTTTACACACCGCACCAGGTACTCATTTGAGGCTGAGTAGATCTAGGGGATGCCCAAGACCGGTTCAGATAATCGTCACTGGTATTGGCCGTGAGCGGGAATTGAACCCGTGTCGACGGGTTCATAGCGCAGCGCGCTAACCGCTACACCACCGCTCCCCACACACAGACACACACGGAAACACACACAGACACACACACACAGACACACACACACGCAACTTACCAGCATGAGTGTGAAGGTTAGGAGTGTGGTGAGCAGGCGAAATGGAGACATGGCCCAGGAGTTGTCCACACGGATGTGTGGATGTGAGCGAGAGGCGATGGACTCCCCTTGAGGCTCGCGTCGGGGTTCTCCCCCTGACTGAAGACGTGGAGGGTGCGGCTCGGCTCAGTGGACTTTGGCCTTTAACTCAATGAAAATGTTCCAGATAATAGAGGTGTTTTGGGTTAGATTGCATTACGCGATCTAACCCATATTGGTGTGCTTGAACATCCTTCACTACCCCAACCCCTCAACTCCACCACTCCCATCTGTCATCCCAAGTCACCATAACTACACCAACACCCTCAACAAGAACCCCACTCTTTAATTCAACCACCATTATCGTACGCACACCTAGAATTATGGTAAATCGCCTTGGAACAAGACGCAATGCAAATAAGATGTAGAAATAAGACTCCATAAATAAGCAGGACAATAGGTCTCCTTTCCGTAGATGTTTCTCCATAGGATTTAAAAAATATATGTTTTTACACATCCCATCGGCCATACAGCCTTCCGGGATTTCTTCAGCAGCTTTGCTTTAATGGACTTGGCTGAGCTGTTCACCGCCGGTTGGTCACGTTGAAGGCGGAAGGGTTGGCAGGGAGTTTATGAACCCCGCATTCGACCTTTGTGGTCAAGTAAAGTATTGCTATGATTCACTTTTATCAGCGTATGTACTTGCAAATGTAACATTGGATTTTCTTTTTGTTAATCTTCAGTCGACTAACAAGTTTGGCTCTGTACACTGCGAAGTAACTTCCACATAGAAACTGGGGTACAAGGTTCATTCAGGCGAGCCAGCCTCATCCACTTGCTTGGTCACGAGCATCGTATCTGAGTTGCCATGCGATGGCTTTATTACTAATAAATGAACTTGAAATTGGATTGTTATTGTTATCGATGTCAATGCCTTGGTGAATTCTGAACAATTATTACTCCTATACATGGCAGCATGAGTTCAGCCACATTTTAAAAAACAACTTATTCATAACGCGTTTTGGGTTAGATTGCGTAAAAATAAATGTGTCGTAAACCCACCTCCACCCGACACAGCTAACGAGTAAGGGGAACGAAACGTGCCAATTGGTGTCAACTTCAGCAGACCCTCTGCATGTGTGTGTGCAAACCCACATTTATAATTTGAGTTAACTAAGTTTCGCTGGCGATTACTACCAGCGACACGCGATCTAACAAAAAACATTTATTTTGAAGAATATTGGTCGCGAAAGCCAACTTGTTAAATACGTTAACAAAAACTGTTATCTTATCTGGGGTGGAGCACACAGTACTTAACTCGCTGTGCTAAATGGAATTCAACGTAACGGGCGATCAGTCACCTCCGTATCACTCTTCTATCGCGATCACTTTGGTGACTGTTCCCACGAACTAACACTCATTGACCCCTTCACTCGGTCTTCCACACTGCCCGTGTGGTCCACACCGTGTCCAGCCACCACACAACGCTTCTCTGTCTGATTCTTTCCCTGGCATTGCTCAATGTGTAAGTTCCCCATACAGTTTGTCTCTCTTTCCATGTCCGCACGACCTTCCTCATTTCAACAAGCGTCTTAACTTTGACTCATTACACGATCGTGAGTGCCGTCTCTGGGTCCGTTTTTGCCAGTATCAAGTTGATGAAAAAAATTTATGGGCTTGACTCTTCCCGTCAAGAATACAGGAGGCGTTAAGATGTTCAAACACCAAATAGACTCCCTATCACCACAAGGCATCGAGTCTGCATTAGAGGCGGTTGTCTCCGGCGTTGGCCAAATCAGCACTATCGAGAACGCTGTTTACTGCTGGATGCTTGTAATGGCCTCCGACAGCTCCTTTTTTATTGAACTCAAAGTCCATTGAGCTGTGCCGCACCCTCCTCGTCCTCAGTCAGGGGGGAGAACTTCAAGGGGAGTCCATCGCCTCTCGCTCACATCCACACATTCCTGTGGACAACTCCTGGGCCATGTCTCCATTCATCCTGGTCACCACGCTGCTAACCCACACATTCATGCTGGTAAGTTGCGTGTGTGTGTGTCTGTGTGTGTCTGTGTGTTTCTGTGTGTGTGTCTGTGTGTTTCTGTCTGTGTGTATGCGTCTCTGTGTGTGTGTATGCGTCTGTGTGTGTGTGTGTATGCGTCTCTGTGTGTATGTGTGTGTGCATTGTGACTGAGGGTAGTGTAGTAGGTAGCACTACGCTGCGCTGCGAACCCAGCGGCCCGAATTCGATTCCCGCTCAGGGCCAACACTAACAGCAGTGAGAATGATCTGGAACCGGCCCTGGGTCTCCCCTAGGTCGACTCGGCCTCCTCAAATAAGCATCTCGTGTGGCGTGTAGTAAACATCGCCACTGGGGAGACAAAGGCGGCCGGGCCTGGTGCTGGTCACCAACACCCTCGTGTGCTGTGTCGGCCTTCATAGGTGCTATTCGCTAACAACACTTGCCCCAACAGACTTTTAGAGACTATACGGGGGATCTTTGTATTTGTGTATTTATAATCAACTGTGCCATGTTGACACAGTAGGGGGCACAGGTGGTGCATAAGTGAATTAACGTGGTCACGTGTGGCAGTAAAAGTGAGTTAACGTGGTACACGTGTGAGTGGGTTAGCGTGGTACACGTGTGAGTGTGAGTGAGTTAACGTGGTACACGTGTGAGTGTGAGTGAGTTCACGTGGTACACGTGTGAGTGTGAGTAAGTTAACGTGGTTCACGTGTGAGTGGGTTAGCGTGGTGCACGTGTGAGTGTGAGTGAGTTAACGTGGTGCACGTGTGAGTGTGAGTGGGTTAGCGTGGTGCACGTGTGAGTGTGAGTGGGTTAGCGTGGTGCACGTGTGAGTGTGAGTGAGTTAACGTGGTACACGTGTGAGTGTGAGTGAGTTCACGTGGTACACGTGTGAGTGTAAGTGAGTTAACGTGGTTCACGCGTGAGTGTGAGTTAGTTCTCGTGGTTCACGTGTGAGTGTAAGTGAGTTAACGTGGTTCACGTGTGAGTGTAAGAGAGTTAACGTGGTACACGTGTGAGTGTAAGAGAGTTAACGTGGTACACGTGTGAGTGTAAGTGAGTTAACGTGGTACACGTGAGTGTGAGTTAACGTGCTGTGTGTGTGCAGATGGCTCCAGTCTCTGCACAGGACAATCAAGACAGCTGCCCCCCAGGAAGGTACAGAACCGAGACCAACATCTGCTGCCAGCTGTGCCCCCCAGGTGACGAAGCCACGTGGATTCTTTGTCCGATCGAAAGTCGTTTGAATACATATACTTGATTTATTTAACATATTTATTCTTGTCATTTTTTTTACCTTTCCTATACTTTGCACGATTATAATTTTTAGGATTGTTTGTTGTTTTAACTTTCTGACCCGCCCCATCTGGACATCTTTGAAAAAGCGGTTTTCAGCTCATCGGCTTTCTCCAGCATAAGTTTAGATTCTGGTATGATCTATTGAGCTATCATTTGTGGCCAAGTTGCTTCTGAAAAAAAGCAACATAGATCAGTGAGCTTTACCTGGTAAAGTAAATAAAGATGTTCCGTTTATTTAAATTGACGTAGTTAGCTACAAAGTCGATGATGTGAAATCGTGCACATTGAACTAATTTATTGCGTATAATTTACGTTAATTGGCGATTAAACGCTTTGCTGAGGCTCAAGTTTCGACTTCTCAGGTGGTAGCAAACAATCAAATATTTGCTCTGAGCCCTCCGATAGAAGCTAATTCAAAACCCCTCACCTGCCTCTCCACTTTGCTTCCACGGTGAGAGGCATTGACTTCGGTCCTCTCTTTAGCAACTGAGATAAACAACAACAAAATAATAACCTTTGTTTCACCCAACAGGGACAGCGAAGGTTGAAGACTGCTCATTTGAGGAACATTTCCCAGTCTGCCTTTCGTGTAGCGACGGATCAACATTCACAGACTCGGCAAATAACCTCACCAGCTGCCAAGGATGCAGAATCTGCGACGAGCAAAGTATTTGTCGTATTCTTATTCAACTCTCACACCCGTGACGCTGTGTTCCCAACAGTGGTGGTGTCAGTACATCGTGCGATCACGTGTTTATTGAGGCCCATCTCTTAAATGCCCTTCGTTAAGCAATGACAATTGTACGCTGTGTTCGCACGACTTTCTTTGCCAGGGGAGCTTGTTCAGCATAAGTGCTTCGCAACTGGCGACACGGTGTGCGAGTGCGTGGAAGGAATGTACAGACCAAGCCATTCCGAACCCTGTGAGGTTCTTAAAGGTGAGACCAGTGCCGGATTTAGGCAAGATAATTGTAGAGGTGATACGCGCTGGGATTAGAGATCGTATGCCAGCGCGTAATGATTGGCTGTGTAGGTGGTGACGTGCGCTGACGGTGGAGGATCAGGGGTCAGCGCGGGGTCGTGGGTTACGGGGTACTGATTGGCTGTGGACGGGTGACGTGCTGAGAGGGAGTGATCGGATGGCAGCGCGGTGTGATTGGTGGAGGAGTGTTAACACGCGCTGGGGAAAACGGATCGTAGAGAGAGTGCGTCGTGATTGGTTCATTAAGGAGCGATGCTCACGTTGAAGTACGCATCAGCTCCGCCTCTCGTGAGCAGGGGCTATAAAAGGGGATGCACACAGGCGTGAGGGCAGTGTGTAACCAGCGAAGAATGAAGACGGGGATGAAGACCTAGGGCCCTGCGGTACCTAGTCTCGCTGTCCTAACGGGACCGGGACTCTGTGTAACCCAGAGGCGAGTGTAGTGTGTGTAGCCATAGGCGTAAGGTCTACACGAGCCGAATGCAGTGTATTGTGTAGCCAGGGACATAGGGTCTACACGAGTCGAGTGTATTGTGTAGCCAGGGACATAGGGTCTACACGAGTCGAGTGTATTGTGTAGCCAGGGACATAGGGTCTACACGAGTCGAGTGTATTGTGTAGCCAGAGGCGTAGGGTCTACACGAGTGAAGGGTATCGTGTGTAGCCAGAGGCCTAGAGTTTACACGAGAGTAGTGGAGTGTGAAGTCGGAAGAAAGGAGACTACACGTTGTATTTTGATACGTAAAGATTTAATAAAAGTGTGTTCCCGTCAAGAAGTTCCTGCCGTCAATTCCCATACTTCAACTGGCGTCAGAAGTGAAACGGTCTTCCAAGCATGGATACAAGGAGGAACCGTCGGACCCACGGGATTGACCACGGGGACAACCTCGACGACGCGGGTCAACTGGCATCGGGGGGTGAGGAAGAGGAGTTGCCCACGGGGCAGGATCCGCCGACGGCGCCGGACGAGCCACGGGGGACTGACGCCGTGCTTCGCGAAGCGCACTCCCGTCTGGCGGAGCTGCTGCTCGCCGCCGCGTCCATCTTGGCGGAGATCAGCTCGTCGGGAGGAGCGGGAACGGCGGCCGACGTTCTGCAGGGTCGCCCTGCAGATTCCCGCCAAAACGATTTGGCGATGGCCGCCATTTCATCTGCATCGACTTTTGGCGGGAACGGCCATCACCACGTGGCAGCGGTTCTCCATGCGCGCCCGCTGACGTCACCAACGCGCGCGGCGGACCGCCATCACACACCCGCCGATGGGGCCGCCATCTTACACACCGGCGGGGCGGCAGAGAGGAAGCACGAGGAGGAGGACGACTTCATTTTTCAGCAGCGCCTTCCCACGTTGTCAGCCTTCAAGGCGGAAGGCGGGGATTGGAGCCAATTTCAGCGCAGATTTTTGGCGCATCAGGAGATGTCCGCCTGGTCCGACGCTACGGCACTGCGGGCACTGCCTGCCATGCTGGATGACAACGCGCTCGCGGCCTTCACGTCCGCACGCAGGTCGGACCGCTCCACGCTCAAAGATGCGCTGGCTCTCATGGCCAAGGTCTATGGTCCTCCCTCCGCGTGCCGCCATCATTTTTATGCAAGACGGAAGGCGGACATGGAGACCGTGCTCGCCTACCGCACGGCGTTGCTTGCTCTCGCCGACGCCGCGTTCCCTCGTATGGACGAGGAGGGCCAAGATGCCATGGTTTTGGAGCAGCTGCTCAAGTTGGCGCAGGACCTGGGGGTCCCCATCAACACGGCCGATGAGACCGATATTTCATCCTTACGGGTCGCCACAAGCATACAAGCGCACGAGGTCCTTCAACGTAAACAGGGAGTCGTCTGCAACGCTGCCGTGGCCTCAACTCCGGGCCCAGTTGTCACCGTGCCCCAAGTCGTCAGCCCACGAGAGGAGGCGTTCATCGCGGGACGACCGGGGGACTGGAGATCGGGGGGTCGTTCGCCTCTGCGAGCGGCCCGCAAGCTGGAGCAACCGAGATCTCCGACGACTGTCATCACCTGCTATAACTGCGGCCTCCGGGGCCACGTGGCCTCCGGTTGCCGCGCCCCACGTCAGCGCGCCATGGGACCTCGGCTGGACGACGACCAAGGCCCCAAGTCGTCCCTGCAAACCCCGGCAAGTCGCGGCACCTCACATGCTCGGCCCGCATACTCGGCACATATGGGTCGTCGCGTTGCGGCGGGGGAGAGCCGAGTAGAGTTCGGGAATTCGGTTCAGAGAGGGCGATTCGGCCGGGACCGGGGAGACATTAAATGGTCGGAGTTGGGGCACAGAATAGTGGCTGCCTCAGCGGGTTCATCCGTAGTTACCGGATCTATTGATGGGGTCGAGGTCAGGGTGTTAGTGGACACGGGGGCATCGGCGACTATTATATCGGATCTCATTTATAATATTCTCCCTGTACAATGTCGTCCGCTTCTTCCGGTGGATGTGCCATTTTACGCCGCTAACGGGGGATCGTTGGGCATTATCGGTCAGATTAGGGCATCCATTTGCATTGGTGATATCAAATTGTCGGGACCCGTTTTTGTTTCGTCCTCCCTGGCGGTCCCTTGTCTATTGGGCACTGATTTTTTGGCTAAAATGCCCATCAAAATTCTCATTGATCAGCGTTGCATTGAACTACCATCGGGTCGCCGTATTTCATTTTTGACGAGCCCTAATGAAATTCGGACGGCGTGCGCTACCATACAGGCGTTAGCGACACAGACCGTGCACGTGCCCTCCGGGTTCACAAATGTTAATTCCCCTCCGGTTGCGGAAGCCATGGGTGAAGGAGGCCTCGGAACAGGGCATGCTTTTGGGTCCTTCTAATAGGGCTGTTGGAGGTCTCGATTTGTCGGTGGCTCACACTTTGGTGGGGGCTGACAGGGATCCGTTTGTGATGGTTTTAAACGCTGGGGCGCGGCCGGCCGTCATTCAGCAGGGCACCGTGCTAGCTCACGCGGCGCGGGTCCCTGCGGAGGAGAGGCTGGTTGCGCAGGCGGATCCGAGTCCCACGAAAAACGTTACATTGAAGGAGGACCTCGATTGGGTTGATTCGCTGTGCGCGGACTCTGACGATTTATCAGCGGTACAGTTGGGTGCGCTGCGCGGGTTGCTCATTGAATTTTCGGATGTCTTCAGTAAACATAAGTATGACATTGGGTGCACGGACCTGCTACGCCACCACATTGAAACGGGCGATGCGGCACCGGTCAGGCAAAATCCCTTCCGACTGAGTCCTGCTGAGAAGGAGCATGTTCAGTCGGCAGTTAATGATATGCTAGAAGCCGACATTATTTCGCCTTCCTCCAGTCCTTGGGGAGTGCCTATTGTGCTCGTTAAAAAGCAGGACGGGTCCCTGCGATTTTGCGTCGATTTCCGTCGCCTGAATAAGATCTCTGTGGCCGACGCGTATCCGCTCCCCAGGATGGACGAGTCTCTCGACGCATTGTCTGGTGCGCGATACTTTTCGACTCTTGATTTATTATCCGGATTCTGGCAGTTGCCACTCGACGAAGAGTCTAAGCCTAAGACCGCATTTCGGACTCCAGGGGGCCTGTTTCAGTTTAACCGGTTACCCATGGGACTTCACTCCTCTCCGGCGACGTTTCAGCGTCTTATGGAATTGGTTTTGTCGGGCTTGCAGTGGGATACGTGCCTCATTTACCTTGACGATGTCATTGTTTTCGGTAAAACGTTTGAAGAACACCTCCAGCGATTGAGGGGGGTGTTCTTGCGAATGCGATCGGCTAAATTAAAGTTTAAACCGGCCAAATGCCACCTTTTTCGTAAATCCGTGAGGTACTTGGGTCACATTGTCGACTCTTCGGGGATTTCTACCGATCCTGCGAAGACGGACTGTGTCAGTTCGTGGCCAACGCCCACGTCAGTGTCAGACGTACGCAGTTTCATCGGTTTTGCTTCGTATTATCGCCGATTCGTTGAGCACTTTGCCACCATTGCAAAACCCTTGCACGCTCTAACGGCGAAAGGAGTGAGGTTCCGATGGGGACCGGAGGAGGAGGCTGCATTCTGCTCCCTCCGGGACGCCTTGGTTAGGGCCCCACCCTTGCGCTATCCGGACTTCGCGAGTCCCTTCTTGCTAGACACGGACGCTAGCAACACGGGCATTGGGGGAGTGCTGTCCCAAGTCGTTGGAGGGGTCGAACGAGTGGTCGCCTATGGTAGCAGGGTGTTGTCGCCGGCAGAGCAGCGCTACTGCGTCACCCGTCGCGAACTGCTTGCCATTGTTTTTTTTGTACAACAATTCAGGCCATATCTCTATGGTCGTCATTTCACGGTCCGGACGGACCACGCGGCGCTCCAGTATTCATTGCGGGTCGCCCAGCCCTCGGGCCAATTGTCGCGGTGGTTGGAAGTCCTCCAGGACTATCAGTTCACGACTACGTACCGTAAAGGCTTGCGACACACAAATGCCGATGCCCTGTCGCGGTTGTTGCCTTGTCACAAATGTGCGTGCTTATCGGGATCGGCGCGCTGTAAACCGCCGGTTACGGAAGGTAGGGAGGCGTTGGTTGCGGCCGCGAGCACACCAATTGGGGATGGTCCCGCTACCCCTGGGGGTCAGGACTCGCTGCTCTCAATGTCATTGATTGAGTGGGGCTGTCTCCAAATGGCGGACAGCTCCCTGCTGGCATTGCGCCGCAAGACGGGGGGTTCCGAAGGTAACCACGACCGAACTGGCTCCTACGAGCTTAAGCAAGGCCTATTGATGAGATGGGACAGTTTGTCCCGGCGGCATGCGATTGTGGTGCCTGCTGCTGTGAGGGGGAAGGTTGTCTTGGCCGCACACGAACGCCTCTTGCATTTGGGAGTTAACAAAACGCTTGCCCTGCTTCAGCGTGACTATTATTGGCCGGGAATGGGGGGTGACGTGGTGAACATTCTGAAGGGTTGTGTTGAGTGCGCCAGACGGAAACCACCACCTGTGCCAG